GATCCAGTACATAAAATGAATTTCTCCCATCAACCGCTTTCGGTACCTGAATGTACTCTTAATGCGGCATCTAAAATTTTTTTAAAGGCTCTATTGTATGTGGGTATGTCATTCCTAAAAATATGATGATAATTTGACTCTAAAACATAAAAGTCCTGAAACATAAAAGATTTTCTACTTTTTGAATAAAAAAAGTAGAAAATCAGGAATGGGTAAGGTTTTCCGCCTTTATGGCAAGTTCAGAACAGAATTCGCCTTTTTTAAATAAATATAAACCTCTTTCGAGTTAGAAAGAAGCTTTTGGAATATGTGAAATGATGATATTCTACAGATGCGTTGATGTGATTCTACCACTGGTAACATTTCGAATGGAAATGAAGATAATTCCTGTAAAATTGGAGTTAAACGGTTAAGAATTAAAACAGCCTGTGGCAAAAATAGAAAAGCTCAGATTTGGCAGTATATTATGGCATCTTAAAATAACTGTTTTTGATTGGTAAACACGAAGAAAACATGTAGAAAAATCTATACGAACTGCTTACATCTTACGATGACATTCCATCATGTCTAATTCGGGCCACCACCAAGCAACGAATTTCTTTCGTGGTTATCAGCGAAACAGGATATGCATCCTTTTAAACGAAAAATGAAAGGTTTCTCGGCAATGACGGTTTTAGCTTCGAGTAAAACAGAATCGAAGAGCAAGTTTGGATTCAGTCTAGGGGACATGTGACGTACAGGTTTAACATGCAGTTCGAGTGAGTTGAGTGCTGCACAGCAATGGAAATTAAAGGAAAGGCTAGAAAATTACGGAAACTAAAAAACTACCCCAAATCTGCCTGTTCCCTGCTTACGCGTATTACCATTAAATGATTCTTTGAAGAGCAGTAACCGAGAGTGAAAACTGGTCGTTATACAGCCGTCGCAACCGTGGTGAAAATGAGAACCAGCTCCCTTTTTGATCATATTTGTGTATTACCAAAAAGCAGCTAACACTGCTTAACTGAATGCTGTGCTATGAGCCCTCACTGACGAAAGGATTGATCGGAACTACGGAGAAATCACTCAGGCGAATGATAGCTGTTTGTTTGCTTTTAAATTAA